GAGAGAGAGAGAGAGAGAGAGAGAGAGAGAGAGAGAGAGCGGGGGAGGAGAGAGAGAGAGAGAGAGAGAGAGAGAGAGAGAGAGAGAGAGAGAGAGAGAGAGAGAGAGAGAGAGAGAGAGAGAGAGAGAGAGAGAGAGAGAGAGAAAGAGAGAGAGAGAGAGAGAGAGAGAGAGAGAGAGAGAGAGAGAGAGAGAGAGAGAGAGAGAGAAAGAGAGAGAGAGAGAGAGAGAAAGAGAGAGAGAGAGAGAGAGAGAGAGAGAGAGAGAGAGAGAGAGAGAGAGAGAGAGAGAGAGAGAGAGAGAGAGAGAGAGAGAGAGAGAGAGAGAGAGAGAGAGAGAGAGAGAGAGAGAGAGAGAGAGAGAGAGAGAGAGAGAGAGAGAGAGAGAGAGAGAGAGAGAGAGAGAGAGAGAGAGAGAGAGAGAGAGAGAGAGAGAGAGAGAGAGAGAGAGAGAGAGAGAGAGAGAGAGAGAGAGAGAGAGAGAGAGAGAGAGAGTAAGTTACATTTATAAAGACAGGTAAGTCTAACAAATGAGGACTGAGACCTCTACAACAGGGTTTTTACGCCTGAAAGCAGGTGCATGATTAACAAGCAGGTTGTCAGTCTAGATTTATGCGCAGATGGAGAAAAAGCGCAGAATTTTTGTAATGAGATGAAAAGCAGAAATAATAAGAAATAATAAGAAAAGATGAAATGAAAGCCTGCTCACAACCCCGCCCAGCCTTGCGAACTGGGTATGGTGGATTAAGAACCCGGTTCAACGCTCGAGCAAGCGCTCTCCACTCAAGGTGTTCACAGCAACTGATAGGAACTCATATGGGGAAATTATAGAAAAGAAATAATAAGATAAAGAGAATAAATTTCAACGCACCTCAATAAACGGAGCCCCACATACAGTACCTCAGAAAAGTGGATCTTCCGACCAGTGTTTTTGTTGACGCCGCAACCAGATGATGTAGCTGCTTCGCAGAGACGTCTTACTGCACAAATTACAAATAAATTTTATTCTTCGATTAGAAAATCCAAGCGCTTTCAGAGCCCTCCGAAGAGAGTCCGGATGAAACCACGCACACCTACCTCAACCGAAAAAGAAACGACCTGCCACCCGTTCGCTCGGCATTGATCGGCCAGATCCGCATACCGCCTGTCCTTCCGCGAGTTACTGACACTGAATCTGTCCTCAGCACAAACTGTCAACTCCATCCAGAATACAATCCTACGACTCGTAGAGTACAGAACTATATCTGGTCTTAGGGTGGTAAGTGCAACACAGCTAGGGAAAGAAATCTTTGCACTAACTGAGTCGACAAGAAGTTTCCAGTCTGAGGCCGCTGACAGGAGATCAGTCGTAACCAACTTTCGTCTGGGCTGAACGCGAACTGGCTTCTCTCCCGCCTTGCAAAACGAGATGAAGTCAAGCTCATTTGAATTTTCGGTTTGTACGGTGTTTGCAGCAGTGCGGATTCGGAATCTCCTCACGCATGTTCCTGACGATGACCCCGAGTACGTTGTCGTGCTCCAGGTGTAACGTCCCTGGTCCAGCGCTACGCGACAAGCGCCAAGCACGTGCGCGTAGTACAGGCCCAGGTACGGCACAAACTACAGTACGGATCCACTACGGTGTTTCCCCAACGGCGTAGGTTCGTCGGGAGAAGGTAGCACGTCGAGGGTTGATGCGAGAAGAAATTTCAAATCCTTACCAGTACCACCGTACAAAAGGGATTTCCACGAGAGGTCCTGCCACATCACCGATGTCCACTCCAACCACTTGCCTTGCACCTGAAGAGTCTTCAGCCTCAAAATCTGCTCCTGCGCGTTGATCTCCTCAAATGTTTGAAGGAGATCCTTCCTCGGGGGTTTGGAATGCTGCTTCGGAGCAGGAGCACCCAACCCTGCACGATGACTTGAAGATGACGTGGCGGAGAGTCCCTGAACCTACTGATGCCTCTGCACACTCCAGCTCTATTGTCGCCGCATATCGCTTTGTCAGCTTCGCATCCTTACTCCGACGCAGAGTGTACAGCGCCCTCATGCGCGCGTCCCCACTCGATCGAAGAATGTGCCATTTGATGGACTGGCACTTTTTCCACACCGTAGGAGGTAGTGAGGCGTAAGCCAAAGCGTTTGCGACTGCCAATAAAAAGAATGGCAGAGTTTGCGCATCGAGGTAGGCCTGACCATTTCTTCAGAAATGGTAAACACATAAAGTGCAGTTCACGTACAAAACCTGTGTGAGTTCAAGAACCTGGAAAGACCAAGAAAGCTTGGGCACTACAAGATGGTGGTAAAGCCATAGCTTGTGGTGGTCTTGAAGCCAAGAGCATCTACTTTTTGCATGAGAGATACAGTGAGTTGACGGATGTCTTCCCGCTGGGTCTGCTCAGAGCAATCAGCATGCAGCCTTCGCCCCAGGAACTTGAACTCTGCAGTGTCAATGAAAGCGATCTTCCTCCCTGACATTGTCAGGCAGGGATCGTAAGGTTTGTACCGGCCATCTACAAGCTTTGCTGCACTGCTTTTGCATTTGAGAGAGAGAGAGAGAGAGAGAGAGAGAGAGAGAGAGAGAGAGAGAGAGAGAGAGAGAGAGAGAGAGAGAGAGAGAGAAGAGAGAGACAGGAGAGAGAGAGAGAGAGAAAGAGAGAGAGAGAGAGAGAGAGAGAGAGAGAGAGAGAGAGAGAGAGAGAGAGAGAGAGAGAGAGAGAGAGAGAGAGAGAGAGAGAGAGAGAGAGAGAGCGAGAGCGAGAGAGAGAGAGAGAGGAGGGAGCAGAGAGAGAGAGAGAGAGAGAGAGAGAGAGAGAGAGAGAGAGAGAGAGAGAGAGAGAGAGAGAGAGAGAGAGAGAGAGAGAGAGAGAGAGAGAGAGAGAGAGAGAGAGAGAGAGAGAGAGAGAGAGAGAGAGAGAGAGAGAGAGAGAGAGAGAGAGAGAGAAAGAGAGAGAGAGAGAGAGCTGGGAGATAGAAGAGCACAGTGCTCTTGGTGATGGGGACTTGCTCTGGTTGTGTCGGTGGGTGATGATGCGGCGGATGACGAGAATAAAGATGACGACGAGGCGGATGACGGCGAGGATACAGATGACGACGAGGCGGGTGATGACGAGGCGGCGGATGAAGACGAGGCGGATGACGATGAGACGGCTGGTGGTGATGGTGATAAAACGGACGAGGAGGAGTCAGGTGGCAGAGAAGGTGATGGAGCTGATGAGGGTGAAATTCGTAAGAAGTCAGCTGTGTATTTGCATTTGTTATCTCGTCCCGATTGTTTGAGTGTGTATGATGATTCCCACTTCTCTGTACTGTGTCGTGCCCGTTATGTCCAGCAGTTGAAGGTCCTTAAAGCTGTTTGTATTCGTACGCATAAGCCCGATTTGTGTAAGCAAAAAGAACATGTTTTAGCACTTAGGTTATGTTCGTGAGTTTGCACCCCGTGTTCATGAGTTGTTTCTGCACTGTTCATGCCCGTTTGTCACACTTACTCTTTATTTTAGTTCTCACTTTTTGTAATACTTACCACAAGTTACCCGTCATGTGTCACACTTCTTTGGATTTTTAACCTTTGTTTTTCCCTTGATCTCTTTAGTTCCGTATTTCCACTGATGATGGGAACGTGAAAATCGATTTTGGAAACACACAAAACCAAACCTTGAACAAATTGTCATGTTGCGTGGTGATGTCTGCGGCATTCATACTTTTCATAGCTATTATTAAACTTTTATCTCCACGTAGATTATTTGTATAACGTAAGCTTCCTGTACTAATAGTAAGTCCGGCACCGATTGTGTAACAGTTACCTGTAAGCAGGCATGGGCGGGTAAAGCCGGTTATTTGCTGCGATAATGCTAAAGGCCATGCTCATACATGTAATATGAGGATATAATGCCACTTATAATGCTCACACTACTCCATAATGCCAGTTTGAAAGTTGGAAAAGGCCGTCTTGGATCAAGGCCAAAGCGTAGAAGAAAAAAACTTAAACAGCAGTGAGCATGTTGTCTGAAACAATCCGCTGAGAAAGCTGATTTGCAATGTCAAGTCTCCGGACGAAGCCGGACGGGTTCAGATGCACGATTTTCGGAACTGGACCTAGCCAGCTTCATGCATGACACCGTTGTCGACCGGCGATTGTGCTTGTAAGGCCAATTTTGCATGCGAAATGGTGTTATAATGCCAGCATTATGCCACCTGGAAAAAGGGACTATAGTGCCAGCCAAAATGCTAGAATTACCCGCCCATGCCTATACCTAAGACACTTGCGGTCACAATCTAGCATACATACTCGTCAAGTGACCATCATGTACATGTACATGTAGCTGCTAGATATCAGGATAGTGACCTGCACTCTTCCTTGTGCAGCTCAGGAGTTAAACCGTGTTATGCGAAGAGAGAGAGAGAGAGAGAGAGAGAGGGGGGGGGAGGGGGAGGAGGGAGGGAGGGAGGGAAGGGAGGACTTAACTTGCGCAATTGCTGTACTGCTGCTTCTTTTCTTTGTTTTCTTTTTGTGCTCTTGAACTCTTTCCCGAAGACATGATATTTCGGTGAGTAGGCGATCCCTCGACAGACCTAGAGCCTCTGGGTAATCCTTTTTATAATACAATAAATTCAATACAAAAAGGAGGAAGGGAGGAACGGAAGGAGGGAGGGAGAGAAAGAGACAGAGAGAAAGAGGGGAAAGGAGAGTGCAAGCGAGGACAAATACAGTCTTTCATTCAGGTATGCGATAATTTAGCGGCAATTCTAATGTTGTAGCGTTGTTCTCTTGTAATTAGTGGAGCCTGTATTGAGTAACTGAGTTTTATGTTTCGTTACATTGTCGACAGATCTCCTGTGTACCGGTTTTGTGGCACAATGATTATAGCCATTAATTTTGTCGTCTCCATTCTTGTGCAATCATGCATAGGTATGTAGGTTGGTTCTCTTCATGTTATTGTGACCTATTTCATAGATGTTGGTTGCCTTGTTGTTTTCTCTCCCCTCTCCTCTCACCCAAGCCATTCTGCATAAGCAAAGCTGTGGACGCAGCATACTGCTGCTACACTTCAATGCGGGAATGCGTATAAAAATAAGAATAAAATGAGGGAGAAGCTGTGTACGACACTAATTGGCTGTTCATTTCGAACCCGGGTGAATTACAACACGCTGATATTCCAAGCTGTCATCAAATGTATGCATTTTCTTCAAGTATGCCATCAACAATGCAAAAGCATCATAATTCTCCAGCAGGAGAAACTACATTTGTTCAATGTATAGAGAGGGGAGTTCCCTGGTCCAGTAGACTGCTGATTGCTCACGGGAGCAGAGGTAATAATTATATCAAGTGAATCAGAGGGTACTACGCTGTCGTAACTAACAGTTTCATGCCTGGTGGCAATCTATTTTTGTCTGAGGATTGGATGTAACCTGATATGCAACCTCATGTATAATTCATGGACATAAAACAGCTGGCTATCATGAGGAAATGAAGTTAAAATGATGATAGGCCAGAGGATGCTATTAGCGGAGTATTCTGGTGCCAGTGCTGCCAATCAACCATGCATATTTGCATCTGACTTGTGCATTGAATCATCCTGAACAGGTTTCACCCGGCACTCCCAAAGTTAATAGAGACCATGCATGCAGTATGCGAATGCTTCAAGTACAATACTGTAGCATCCATCGTGTCAATGCTCAACAGGAGTTGCCTCGTCCCACACATCGACTCGCATTCCCGCCACCCAGGTCTCATTCAGGAGATTCTCTTGTGATAGTCTCCGACCAAACCCAGCCTGCATGCATACGGCGGCATTTGAGCTGGTTCCTAGCGGCGCAGGCTGATTGTAGATTGCTATGAGTAGTGCTGGTGTGCTGCCACAACAGTGAGGTGCGTCCCCGAAGCTGATTGTTCATCCTTGTTCAATCATGGTGCGGTAATGAAGGTCAGCGTAAAGGAGACACATAGTACATAGTCCATGGAACTCCGTAGCCTGTAGGAGCTGTGCGTGGCAGCTTCTCTAGCCTCCATACAGTGAGAACGATGACAGTACAGTCGCAATGTCAATCCACAGCAGCCATGGCGCATGGGTTCAGCTTTGCTCAACAATGCTATCGACCTGGGCATTCATGACCCAGTCTACAGGAACCCAGTTCTCTTCCGTTCTCACCTTCTCCATGGCTTCATCGATGTGTGCGATGGTCGTGTCAATGTCCTCGTGAACCAGTCGCAAGTCGAACAGGTGGCCGTGCACTCGCTCCATTTTGGTCGATGCGGCGACCATGGAGGCCAGTTGCTCCTCGAGACGGTGACTGCGCGCCACGCTGTGACTCTGGCTGTCGCGGTGGCGCAGCTTGGCGCGCAGCCGCTCCAGGCGCGGCGGCGCCAGAAAGATGACGAACGGCTTGATGTCGGCGATGCGCATGGTGCGCAGCGTCTTGGGTGCCACGTGCAGCACGCATGTACGCCCGGCACGTTGCACTCGCTGAATGGACGACAGCGAGGTGCCATACCAATGGTTACCCACGCGCGAGTACTCAACGAACCTGTTCTCGGCAATGTTTGCCAGCATCTCCGCAACGGAAACATGCTGATACTGACTGGATGCAGATCCCCTCATCACCATTGTCGACGTCGGACGGGCCCGAGCATAGAGATGTCGATGGGTCTGTATGAGCTGCGCCTGTACTTCGGTGCAGCCAACACCCGCGGCACCGATTAGCACAAGGGGGCGAGGTTCGCGGTGTTTCGGCAGCATCCGTGCCACTTCTTCGTACGACGCAAAGTCCACCGCTTCGTCAGGATCTTCCCTGCCGGTGCATGCATAGCCGCGATTACGCTTGCGAGTGTTGCCCCAGCCACGTTTCCGTGGTGCAGTGAGCGATAGCTGCTGCTGCTCGTCTTTCTTCCGCTTCTTGATGGCCTCACGCCTCTGTCGCTCCAGTGGTCCGGGGATGAGGCCAGCCAGTATTTCACCGCCGGTGTCTAGCCTGTGCGCTTGCCACCATCTCGGGTCCGCTTTACTCACCACCGTCAGCAGCTCCCCGCGATCAAACGCCATGCCCGCCTCTCGGCACGGATTTAGGTGGTCGCTCCGCGGGTCGTAGTCGAACTGGGCTCGCACCGTGATGCGACACTCCTCGCCGGCATGCGGTGACGTGAGGTACGGCTGCAGAAGTCGTATCCGAAAGTCGATGTGATCACGTGCAGCCTTGACCAGGTCCACGACCTGATCAACACTGAGTCCGCTGACGTAGTTGCCGTTGATGGATACGACCTCGTCACCGCTATGAAGCATGCCGCTCTGATGTGCTAACGAGCCGTGCAAGACCCGGCCAATCACCACACACCTGTCTGCCTGCCGGATTTTAACCGTCGCACCCAGCGGCTGGTCGGCGATTTTCTGAAGCCGCACGTTCGTCGTACCATCCCCCATGCCGTCCGCTTCGTCCTTGGTGGCCCCAGCGCTTGACTCAGCCGCAGTACTGGTCACCAGAGACCTCCAGTCCGTCATACTACAGTACTCTTTCTTGCTCACTCGATCATGGGCTGACATGATGCCGTGAAAGTGTGGGGAGGACAGAATGCTCAGTAGCTTTGCCTCGCTCGAGTTCTTGCGCACTCCGCTGTGAAAGATCATGTCGCACACATCCGCCAGTAACTCGCCGCCCTCATCCGTCAGCGCCTCGGGTGCAGCCATATCCTCCTCAGCTCTCGCATCACTCCTCTCTTTGCGCTGGGCCAGCACCTGCTGCACCCCCATCAGGGCCTGAAAGTCATTACCACTCACCATGCCCATCAAAAACGCCATGTCCTCATCGTCACCCGAGTATTTGCTCCTGGTCGCTGCCAGGGTCCGGAGTAGCCGCTGAGCCAGCGGCCCATCCCGGCCACGAACACCGGACGGCATGGTGGTGACGCGACGGCGGTCACGGTCCGACGCTGCAGATAGCAATCGTTGGCGATGGAATGAGAGGAAGAAATAATTCGTGGATTTTCCGCGCCAGGGTGGTTGGTGGTCAGAAACCTTGCCCTTGAGAACCTAACAACTGGCCGGCTACTCCGACGAGGGTCCGCAGAGACGAGAGACCCTGTACTCTGATGCAAACATCGGCTGCACTTTGTCAGTGAACTCGGCCGGTTAGAATCTCGGAAGCAATCACTAGCTAATTTCTTGACTTGGAAAATGGACAAATTGATTGCGCGGGAGGTGATTTTTCGACCACACACATATGGACCCGCCTCGTGCCTCGTCTACACATCGAACGAAAGCAAGGATAAATCTATCATTCAGTGTCGATATCATCCGTACTGAATAGCATCAGACTGTCAAGTGTCATCCAGCTTTCAAAATCTAGCTGTTGGTGGATCTTCAAAGCTCAAACGTTACGTGGTCAGTTCACATTCTACATCGATGGTAATCTCGCCCTGTGCAAGCCAGAGTGACAAGCCAGGTACGTCCAATGACACTGAGATTGAGCACATAGCACAGTCATGTACATGATGTATGCCAGCACTGACTCCATTGAAGGAAGAAGTATCTAATATTGACTGAGTACGAGGTCAATATTAGATTTATCACGACTAACCAAAGCATGTGTGCAATCGCTAAAAAGGAGTCAAAATATAAGCGGTCAATATAGCCCTAAGGAGTCAAATAATTAAGCAGGAATAATTGATTGCTTAGATATGGCAAAAATCTATGTGAGTCAATACTAAGGGAGTGATAATTATCTAGTATTGACTGGCATCACTGCTCAGTTTGGCAGTGGGATTAACTGCTGCATGATGAAAAGCAAGCAGAGAAAGGGCAAGGGCAACTGGGCATACAGTACTGTCAGTTGCCAAAGAACTGGGGGAGGGTCAGCCTCCTAGCCTAGACTGTTCTTATTTCCATGTATCACAGTAGGCTTTTCCCAAATCGGGCGGCCGAAAAATTCGCCGAAAACGAGACTTATCGAATATTTAATAATAGCTATGAAAAGTATGAATGCCGCAGACATCACCACGCAACATGACAATTTGTTCAAGGTTTTGTTTTGTGTGTTTCCAAAATCGATTTTCACGCTCCAATCATCAGTGGAAATACGGAACTAAAGAGATCAAGGGAAAAACAAAGGTTAAAAATCCAAAGAAGTGTGACACACGACGGGTAACTTGTGGTAAGTATTACAAAAAGTGAGAACTAAAATAAAGAGTAAGTGTGACAAACGGTTTTTGTAATACTTACCACAAGTTACCCGTCGTGTGTCACACTTCTTTGGATTTTTAACCTTTGTTTTTCCCTTGATCTCTTTAGTTCCGTATTTCCACTGATGATCGGAGCGTGAAAATCGATTTTGGAAACACACAAAACAAAACCTTGAACAAATTGTCATGTTGCGTGGTGATGTCTGCGGCATTCATACTTTTCATAGCTATTATTAAACTTTTATCTCCACATAGATTATTTGTATCGAATATTTGCTAAGAGTTTCGCCGATTTTGGACGGTTCCTTTGAGAATCGCCGAAAAAAACTACCAAATCTTCCAATACAGTGGAGATTGGTAATAACGACACTCCTTCGGGAGAAAAAATGTTCAAGTGCTATATTCGATCTGTCACTAAACCCGATCTTCACATTTTAGTATGCGATATGTATATCAAAAATGACAGAACTGTATTGCAGATACATGTACATGTATGCATGTGAATAATACTATAATGCATATGAATTTCTGATGTGAATGTACTAGTACATGTACATGTACAACACATAACCATTGTACCCTGCTCTTGGAGCATTTCGAGCACTCTTGGCGGGGTTTGCAGCTCTTTATAAAAATGCTTTGCTTCACGGAAACGTATTTCATTGCGAAGAGCTGCGCTTCGGCTGTTGACAAAGGAAATTCGTACAGATGAAAGAATACGGGAGGCAAAAACCGTACACACTTCTGAAATGCGAAGCTTTTAGTAGTACACCGTACATTTTATGCAGAGTTCATTATCTGCACCGTACTATAATGCATACAGGGAGTTGTACGCACCAGTTTAGAGTATAATTACTCAGCGGGCTTTAAACTAATCCAAGGCCCTCGACGCGTCATCAAGAGTAGTAAAATAACGATTGAGCGGGCTTTAAACTCTGATAAGGCCCTTGGCGGAAATGTCGCTGATTGGTCGTTTCCTGGACAACGAGACAGAATAATAATAATAATATTAATAATAATACTACAGCACGCGTACAAAGGCCAAAGAACAATGCATGAGAATACACTGAAATTAAGCCAAGTCCGCTTCTGTCTCCAGTCAACAAAAACTCATCCACAAACAATGTCTGATCTCCATTTCGACTTGTCTGCAGCAAATGCTCGTGCTCCTTCTAGGTCGCTGGCATTCTTCAAAGGGATGTCGTGCCCTGCCAGGTCCTTTATGATGGTGGTAGGGAGAGTAGCCGCGGGACGGCCCCTTCGTCCACGTGACCCCGCTTGAAAATAGCAGGACATAGCTTGAAAATAGCAGGACATCGCAAGGAGACATCGCAAGGAGACAGACCTCGTTCTAAAATCGAATATACTGTCATGGCTTTAAAAAGGTGCGGACATACGGGGGGGGGGGGGGGGGGTAAAAAAGAAAGGACCATATTAGGCCACCTAGAATTAATTCGTTGTTTCGGGTCACTTCACTCACCCGTACCAGGGTCGGTCGGTCGGGTTTATTTTTTTATTTTTTTTATTTTTTATTTTGGTTTACGTCCATGTGCATACATGTACATCGAATAGCTTTTGTCCATCTAGCCAGTCGATCAAATCTGACTGTAGTGTAGATAATCCAGCGCAGTTATTGTCCCATCAGATCCAGGTCCCCTCCAGGACCAGATATTGGCCTCGCTGGCAACTACTCGGAGTCTGACGAGCAGCTCTCATCTTGAAAACTTCTGTAAATAGCGACAAGGTGGCAGAGCTGATGCTGTTTCAGCACCGATTGCGGATCGGAGATAGAAGACAACGTCGTCACCAAGCGCTGCATCCTGTCATTTGGCTAGCCGTTGCTGCTTCTGAGGTCGATATCTGGACTGCTATTATTACTAGGGTCGCGCCTGTACATAGTGTAGTCTGTACATTTGCATGCACTATAAAAAAAAACATTGCGGTCGGGTGAAAAAAGACGGTCGGTCGGGTGACCCGAAACAACGAATTGATTCTGGATGGCCTTATTATTATTATTATTCCGTGACACATATCCGCCGGATGAGTACGATTGGCCCTTGTAACATGGGGACCCACGAATACAAACCAGAATATGTTCCCTCAGCAATACAAGCATGCAAAGATAAATGAGAACCCATGCAGCGAAAACAAAGCAAAGAGAGATGAGGATATAGGCAACGAAAGCAGTTCCAAAGCGTAGCCAGGGAGTGTATGTGTGCATATGCCGGGTACGACAGTTAATACGGCTAGCACAGCTCTGGACAGCACAGCAGCACGGAACATACAAAAAATGCCACAGCAGCAGCCAAGATTGTGCAAGCAGATTCCATGATTTTTTTAATTATTGTCGTCACATTTTTCATGCTCAGGCCAATTTCTGACCACCACTACTTCACATGAGGAAGGCGGCTGGGGCAAAATCCATTTTCGGCAGACTTTCGTATGGGGCATTACACCCTAATATGGGCAAATGTGTGTTCATGACGTTGATCGAAATCCATCTTTAGCCTATACTGAAGAAGGTGAACACTTTTGTTCATGTACTTCAATGTAGAAATCCCTAATATGGTTGAGCCCCCCTCGGGCTGTACGTGTATATACGGCCCATGATTACGGGTATAGGTTAGTGTTTAGTGGAAGGTAGGCGAGAGGAGACATTATGCACGTGCACGTGCGAGCGTTCATGCACCTTTGGAAAGCCCATCCCCGAAGGCGATGATAGCTATTAGGCGAGGCAGTAGTTCTTGTGTCGGGATAGATCATGCACACACACGCACATTTCTGGTATCGCAGCACACATTGCTATGGAACCCCAGCTTCAAAGCTGGTACTAGCGCCAGCCCTCAGCCAAAACACATCCACGATGACAGTTGTGACACACACACACACGCGCGCGCGCGCATACACACGCACGCACACACTCAAGTGCGCGCACCTGTGTGCAGAGTCACACATAGCAACACGCAGAACCGTTTTGTCACAAGTATGGCCATAGAATGCTTGCCCAAGAATGTTCATGACACTTTTTTTTAATTGGAAGAAGAGCGTTACTTCAGAGCGTTACTTCAGACGGGAAGAGAATATACTAAGCTCTAGTACAGGGTTTTCTGTGGAAGAATAAAACCCCGGTATAAAAGACACATTCCGTTTGGTACAAACATAGAAGACAAATGAAAACATGTCAGAAAATAGCTTGAGGCCGTCAGAAATAGCTTGAGGCCGTCAGAAATAGCTTGAGACCGTAAGAAAATAATGGTTAGTTAAATACACCACTGAAGACAAAGCGCATGCAATCAGAAGTTGGATAACACTGAGACATATGAGGAAGATCAGAAAATACGGCATGCGTGCATAATACATCCAACGCTGCGGTTGAGAATAATTTAAATAGCCGCAGTCACACACACGCTTACAGTCAGTATTAAAAAAGAAAGATAGAATCGATAAAAAACAGCACCCCGCAAGGAACTTGCTCAAATCATCAACACAAAAAGCGAGGTGCAAACTTGCACCGCCACTCGGTCGCTTAGAACACAGTGCAAACGGAAAGACGACCCCAGTAAGTGCATACACGGCGCTAGTATGGGTCTGGTGAAGTGAGCGCGGGGGTAGGATAACAGCATCACCATGGCCCAACCACTACGTCCACAATGGAGTAGCTGATGATTGATGTGTTCCCTATGAAGTAGTGCAGGTAGTAGGCACAATTACAAGTGCTCCACACTAAGACATGTACACTGTACAGAACTCCACAGAACAATGGAAACTCCACTGACACGCAGTTAGACTAGGAACGAGCTCGGCATACATTTCTACTTCGCGATGTGACAGCTGCATGCATAAAGTCCAACAATACGGAGAGCACAGGTTGGCAACGCAGTGAGTTCGGTTTCTTTCCAAAATAATTTACTGGTATTTCAAGTGCAGGATCTGGGAGTACAGATTTTAGTGAATTTCTGGTGGTGGCGGATGATTGTTTCCGTGCCGACCACCGGCATGATCGGGATCACCTCCATTCCAATCATCGGAACCTTTCCCTCCACGGAGTGATTTAGGCCGCATCAGGAACAACAAGACAGCTACAACCAT